CACTCTTCTAGGCCTTGTGCCTACTGGACCTCACTTGCTTACTTCTTGAGTCTGTTTGTACTGTGATCTCTATATATATATACCTGCATGTTTACTCTTGCTAGGTTGTGATCATTGTACCTCTTGTTCTATTATAAACCTGCATGTGAACTGGTCTTGTGACCACTTGCTTGTGCTCGGAATTTGTGTGGTATCCTTGAGATCCACCATGAGCTTGCTTTGCCTTGCTTTGCCTTGACTGGTCTTGTGACCCCTAGTTCTCCCCCACTTCGCCTATGGGGGGTGTGTCAAACATTATATATGTTGTTTTGCTTGTTTAGGCTACAGTGGGTTAGCCAATAGGGGGTACACAATTCTAGGGTTAGGTACTTGTACTGTTTTCACTGCTAGTTCATCCATTCCTGTTCGTTCGTTTCAACAGGTGAGGCCTCGCATAGTGTGTTCTGCTCACCTCGTGGCACAGTTGTTGGATGCACTACATATCTCGTCACCGTGTTCCCGCCCCACACAACTATTTTCATTGTCGCAGGGTGTTTGCGACATGGTTAAGGATCATCTGTTTCTAGAAGCCCCGAACGAGAAGATGGACTTCTATCCGAGTCGCGACGCTAAAAACGCCGGCCTATGCCATGTCGTGTCCACCATTTCTCCCAAAACTGCGACTCTGGCGTTAGACGCGGATAAGGCTCGACGGCAGGGTCTGAACAACACCTTGTCCGAGTACAAAACAGGGTTGGCCGGTCGCGCTCGCGGAGTTTTTCTTCCACGAATTGGTCTTTTCCGTGACGACGAGGACAGGCCCAGTCCTTGGGCACGTAAGACGGAGCGCACTGGGGAGCGTGCCCGAAAGAGATATTGCGTCCCCGTCCCAGACGATGGTGCGTGTTCGCATGTCATATGGCCGGAGCAATTATGGTCGCAACTCCTGTGTCATGCCATAGTGGACCAGACATGTCTTTGAACCCTCCCCTTTTTCCGTACGCGGTATCGTTGTACCCATTTTGCATTCCACGTGCGCAGGGGACCCGGCCTTGTTCAAGTGGCACATCAGCAAGGATGGACTGCCATTTGCATCCGGAGCGTTCGCGGCATGCGCCATCGCGGCTTTCGGAGGGAAGCGGAAGGACAAAGAAACAACTATAAAGCTGTACCACCTGTCGTGGCTCGAGCACCTTGTACGTTTACACTGATGCGAACATATGCTTTAGCCACTTTTGTTCAACTAGCCGTTCTAAATGGGCTTCTCCTGCCTTCGCAGATCACGGACGCCATTATCAACTGGGAGAAGCGCAAGGGGAAACTGCACAACTCTCCGTACGAGAACGGCGCTTCTGTGCGGAGGATTCAGAAGCTGGCCTTCGATGCCATTGCGGATGCAGTATGCCGGAATGAAGTGCCCTACGACGAGGAGAAGAAGTCCTGGAATTGGGGCAGGCATGGGCTCCGTCTTTCATCTTGCGGCCTGGAATGCCTCCTGGAAGATGAAGCAGCCTCCGAAGACGAAAAACATGAGTCCTCCGCGTCGGAAGCATCGGATAGTGAAACAGATGGGTGACGTCCTGATAGTGTCTTTAATCCAATTGTGTGTCGTAGACTAGTGTAGTGGTGTAGTGGGGACAGGGTGTGGTTGTTGTTGGTTCATTGCATATGTGCAATAAATCGGTGACATATATGTTGGATCTTGCACACCTAGGGGAGACCTTGCGCATGTTGGACACGAGGATGGTTGAAACGCAACTCTCTGCATTCCGCGCAGTACGGCGACAATTGTGGCGCTAATCGCGGCGACATATGCGGCGGGTTAAATAGGAGCCGTTAGATGCCACGCTAGTCTAGCAACGTAGATAGAGGGCAACCGTACAATCCGCCGAACCGCTCATCAATGAAACGCGCCTTTTTTTAGCCCGACGACGGTGTCCAATGGCTATTTGCCACAGGTGTTATGGAGATGGTCACAGATGTGTTATCGTGAGATCCGCGACAATTACGTGTGAACGTGCGATTGGTATCAGTAGTCCTAGTTGGAAAACCCTATCACCGAACGGACGGCGTGTGTAGGTACAGGTGGATTCCACTACAAATCGTGGGATGACATTTGTATCGGACGGACGGTAGAGATGAGGCGTATGCGTGTGAGATCTGGAGTTTGTCGGCGTATCCGGAGCGGCCATGTGCCGTGCTGCGGTTGGCATAGCGGAGTTGCCACGCGACAATCGCGTGCGTACAGTTGTGGCCATCTCGACCGTACATGCGGCACGATACGATTCGTTATGGTTGGGCATCCACATGTCATAAAGCGTGATTACACGTATAGATATTATGCTGACGTGGAATAGTGACTTCATGTATGCTAATCGGCAGCTATGTGGCAATGCACAGGTGTAACCATGAACGTGTTTGATATCGAGGACATGGGCAATGGTGAGCATGGGGGGTGCATGTATGGATGGTGGTGGGTGGGTGGACAATGGATTAAATGCCCTAAGTGTCCCATGAACATGTGTGACATAGAAGACATGGGCAATGGTGAAGATGGGGTTTTTGTGTATGCATGATGTGATGGGGCAGTGTATGCATGATGCGATGGGGCACTGTATGCATGATGCGATGGGGTACTGTATGCATGTGTACATGGGGAACGGTATATATGGCAGACTATGCAAGGCAATCATGATGATTATGCTCCCCCTTGCCCCGCTCTATTGCCCCGGCCTATTGCCACTCATGCAGGCATCCAGAGGGCAACAGCCCCACGTGCACGCAACTGCACGGTGTGTCGGGAGTGCATCAGGGAGGAGGGGTGGGGCGACTACATTCAGCTCAGAAGAAAACGGGACCACTTCATTTGTGAGACCACCGTTGCTCTTCCCATGCATTGTTTCTGTCAATGTTGTCGTACTACAACTCTGTGTAGAGAGGGTGTTTTTGAGACGTCTCAAAAACACCCTTCCTGTCAATGTTGTCGTACTACAACTCTTTTTTCTGTGTCATATTTCTATCCCTTCAACCGACACTGTTTCTTCTCAACGCCTCTCTCTGACATGTCGTTTTTCCGTCCAACGTGCCAACACATAGAGCCATTGAACAAAACAACCCGATGCGATTTTGTGCCGCCGCACGCCAAATTCAGCTATTTTGTTCAGCCCTCTCCCCGTCTCATGTGTCCTGTCCATGCCTCAGCATGTCACACCATCCCTCACCATCCCTCACCATCCCTCACCATGCCTTACCATGTCAACCACCCCTTATCCTTCTCATGGTCCGCTCTTCCAGTGTGATTACTTGAGCACTACTGTTCCTCCCTCCACCTTTCTCCTCTCCCTCCTCTCCTCTCTCTCCCACCCCCCATATCCCCCCACTGCAACACCGCAGTCTCAGTAAAGAGCATGGAGCGCTGCCGCCCAACGTGCTATTCACAGACGCATTCAACCTGCTGGAGGGAATCCCAACCTCTCCTTTTCTCTCTTTTCTCCGTTTTCGTCCCCCCTCCCACTCTCGCCCATTCACATTTGTTGCCTCGCAGGTTGCGAGTAGTGATTTTGCTGATGATGGTTTCCGGAATGCTGCGCGAGCACAGATTGTCAGAGGTCCACTGGTGATCCCCGATCGATCCTAGGGAAGGGTTACAGGCATGTTGGCCTGGGGGGTTATGGGCGCACTGACCCGCTACTTAACAAGCCCTTTTATCCCAATGGTCTAGTGGTTGGGATTCTGACATGGTATCAGAGCGGTCTCGGGTTCGAATCCCGGTGTATGCACTTCGGGCATCCCAGTGCGGGGGGGTGTCAGAGGTCCACTGGTGATCCCCGATCGATCCTAGGGAAGGGTTACAGGCATGTTGGCCTGGGGGGTTATGGGCGCACTGACCCGCTACTTAACAAGCCCTTTTATCCCAATGGTCTAGTGGTTGGGATTCTGACACAGATCTGGGAATTGGCGCGCATGCTTCCGGCGAGTTGCATTGGCTACGAAACTGCGCGCAGGCAGCACACGAAATCTGCCTGCCTATGGTCAACAACAATCTCAGAAGCGGGCAGCTGGTGCCACATTGGCGAACTCACAGATCCCGCGTATAGAGTTAAGGTCTCGATAGATGGTACAAAAAGTCATTGCACAGCTACGAAAGTAATTATTTTAGTATAGTATCAAAGTTTAGAGGAAATTCATCAGTGCCTGCATTACGGAATTTGTGCATGAAAAAATGTTTTATTGTTATAGATTTCAAGTACAAAATAATTTTAAAAAATTCATAGGATTTTTACGTCTGGTTATGCTATCACTGTGCTCGGTGATTTATTATTTAGAAACAGCATGTTTAGGGAGAAACTTGCCACAATATTTACAGTTGCAATATTCCAACCTGGCACACCCTTATGACGAAAACTGGGTTCCTTGCCAGTCAACATTCGTTGGCGACAAACCTGGGGGTCGCTAAGGGCTACGATTGGTCTGTACGTGGATTTTCGTCCTGCCAGCTGTCGCGACCTGCGGTTTTTTCCCTGCCTGCGAATTTTGCCTTTCCTGGTGTCGCATCATGCGATTTTCGCATAACAGGTCGCATTGTACATTACGATATTTCGCGCGACACCGTCGTTGGTGCAGAGCGCCAAGATGATTCATCCACAGTCGCACTCCCAACCCTTGCGACCTGGACTGACAAGAAGTGAACGAGAGAATGAAATGACTATGAACGAAGTGAGTACAAATAGGAAACCCTAACTGGGTTGTACCCCCTATGGGATACCCCACTATAGCCTACACAAACAAGTAAGCTATAATGTTCTGACACACCCCCATAGGCAAAGTGGGGGAGAACAAGGGGTCACAAGACCAGTCAAGCAAAGCAAAGCAAAGCTCAGGGTGGATCACAAAGTCACCACGCATTCCGAGCACAAGTTCAAAGGCCAGAAGGCCAGTTCACATGCAAGATCATATATAGAGATATACAAGAGTCAAGCAAGCAAGAGCAAGAGTATATATAGGTGAAGGTACAAGCAAGGTCAAGAAGTGAGCAAGTGAGGCAAGACAGGCACAAGACCCAACTGCGTGCAACAACGCTGATGATCACAAGGCGCAAGTGCCTTAGTGAAGACATCAGCAGTGTTGGCCTCAGAGGCCACGTACGCAAGTCGCAACTGTCCACGCTGCTGCAGCTCACGAGCAAGAAAGTAGCGGAGGGCAATGTGCTTCGTTCTGTGCTCCAGTCGCTGCTCTCGACACAAGGCCAGCATGGCCTTGTTGTCTACGTACAGGACTGGAGGAGAACGAGGCTGCTCTCCAAGGTCGTTCAGCAGGTAGGTGAGCCAGCGTAACTCCTGTGCAGCCATAGCCCCAGCGTAGATCTCAGCCTCACAACTGGAGCCCAGAACAGAAGACGAGCGAGTAGCCCGCCACGAAACAGAGCCGGAACCAAGGCTGAAGGTGTAACCCTGTGACGACCGCTGCGTAGCCTGGTCGTCAGCCCAGGAAGCGTCTGCGTGCCCAGTGAGGACCACTGGACTGCGCCCTCCAAGCACTAGCCCCATGCCCGACGTACTGCACAAGTAACGCAACACCCTCTTCGCTGCAGCCATGTGCTCTGGTCGGTGTCTCCCAGGAGCAACATAGCGTGCTAGAATGCTAAGAGGGTATGCAAGGTCAGGACGTGTGCAGGTCATCAGGTACATGAGGCAGCCAACAAGCTCTGCAAACGGGCCACTCGACTCTACGGACTCATCCGAAGGCAGAGCTGAGAGCGAGTGGCGAGTAGGCAGAGGAGTGGCCTGAGGCGAGGAGTACGTGAAGCCGAAGCGCTGAAGGACCTGCTGCACCATGTGTGACTGAGTCAGGGTAATGGTGCGGCGCGCTCTGTCCCGGGTGATCTGCAAGCCAAGGTAGCTACGCAGTTCACCCAGGTCAGTGCACGTATGTCTCTTCTGCAGCTCGGACTTCACGTAGGCGAGTCCAGCAGTGTCAGCTGTGGCAAAGACCAAGTCGTCGATGTACACGAGGATGTAGAACGGCGGCAGAGAGGTGTCGGTGCGCAGAAACAGCGACGGGTCGGCAGTAGACGGAGCAAACCCAAGTGCCGCGAGCGTAGTCCTCAGTGTGTCGTGCCACTCACGTGGCGCCTGGTGGAGACCGTAGACTGGACGCCGGAGACTCCACTGGGTACCAGGAGGGAAAGACCCAGTGAAGCCAGGTGGGCGGCGCAGCCAGATCTCCTCGTGCAGACTGCCCTGCAAGAAAGCTGTGCTGAAGTCGAGAGAGTGCAGCTCGTAGTCACGGTGAGCAGCAACGTGCAGCAGAACCCGAAGAGTGGTCATCTTCGGGGTGGGGGAGAAGGTCTGAAAGTAGTCAACCCCCTGCCGCTGACTGAAGCCACGAGCCACGTAACGCGCCTTGAAGACAGGCGGAGAACCCGGCGGCCGCTTCACCCTGAAAATCTACATGCCACTGACGATGTTCGCCCCAGGAGGGGGGACAGCGTCGACGTAGGTGCCTGTGGACTTCCAGGAAGCCATCTCTGCATCCATAGCTGCCTGCCACTGAGAGGAGTAGGGACCCTCTATCGCCTCCGCGTAAGAGCGCGGAGTCGGGATGTCTGGTGCATCCGGGTCTCCCTCAGGGGCTAGCAGTACAGACGCGAGATGGGGTGAAGCGGCGGCCAGACACTGGAACTCCTCCTGCCTGTCCTCAAGGACGTCCGTGCCGAGGGCACACTCACCCCCGACGGACGGAGGACAGGCAGACTCAGACTCAGCGACAAGACTGGCAGCGTAGTCTAGACGACAGCGCGCAGCAAAGTCGACAAGCTCAGTGACAAGGGCAGACGCAGCAGACGACTCGAAGGAAGGGTCAGTAACAGCAGTAGCAAGGAGACGCGTGACAGTAGGACTGGCAGCACGAAGAGAGTCCGACTCCGGGTCGGCAAGCGCAGGAAGAGAGGAAGCAGGAGGAGAAGGCAAAGGGGCACGCAGAGGAGCAGTGGACGGACGCAGTGACATCCGGTGCGTGCCAGGGACAGGAGGAGGACGCTGACGCGACCCGCGACCACTAGCGCGCTCAGTACGAACAGGCGACGCAGGACGAGACGCAGGCTCACGACGCTCAGTAAGACCTCCAGTCGGACCAGCGTAGGGAGAAGGAGCAGGCAAAGGGGAGGCAGGCTGTAGCTGTGGGTGTGACCGGACAGGCTGCGGACCCTCTAAGAGAGGAGGAGAAAGTGGAAGACCAAGAACCTGCTGCAGGAGCGGAACGAAGTACGGTCGGGGCCGCGCGGCGACGCAAGAAACAGCAGGAACAGCACCAGCACCCTCGGCAGGAGCACCCACTCCAGTAGCACCTCCAGCAGCACCACCAGAAGCTCCAGAACCTCCAGCAGCAGCACCAGGAGCACTGTCAGTCGGACCGCCAGCAGCAGGCTCAGCGCCAACACCCTCAGCAGCATTAGCTCCAGGAGAACTCGCAGACCCAGCAGCTCCAGCACCCACAGGACGAGCACCGCCGGGACGCGCGGCAGCAGTGCCCTCTGCAGTCGAAGAACCACCAGCACCAGGAGCACGCCTCCAGCGCCTGGCAAACCACTCACGCAGCTCCTGTGGGGAGAGTGGCTCCCGGCGAGACGAAGCACCCCCAGGCTCAGCGCCCCTAGGCACAGCACTCCCAGGCACAGCACCCCCAGGCTCGGCACCTCCAGGCTCAGCACCCCCAGGCACAGCACCCCCAGGCTCAGCACCTCCAGGCTCAGCACCCCCAGGCTCAGCACCCCCAGGCTCAGCACCCCCAGACTCAGGACCCCCAGACTCCGCACCCCCAGGCTCAGCACCCCCAGACTCAGCACCCCCAGGCTCAGCACCCCCAGACTCCGCACCCCCAGGCTCAGCTCCCGCAGCAGCACCAGAGTCACCAGTGACCTCGACAGGCTCGACCGCGTCTACCTGGGACACACCTGAAGGGGCAGGACCCTGAGGGGGGAGGGGGACCACCGGGGGGGGACCTGGTACCAAGAAGAGCGGGGGTGGGGGGAGGGACGGAGTGCGGTAGGGGAAGAGGCGGTAGTAGGGCACCGACTCGTCGAACGTGACGTCCTGGGAGGACAGAACACGTCGAGAGGTGGGGTGGTAGAACTGCCACCCAGGGGCGTCGGGGGGGAACCCCAGGAAGACGCAGGGAGCAGCGCGAGGGGACAGCTTGTCCGCAGACAAGTCGCGGACAAACGCCCGAGATCCCCAGACCCGGAACGCCGACGCATCGCCAACCTTCCCCGTCCACAGCAGGGCTGGGGAGGTCTCCGGCCTGGAGACCCTGGGGTGGAGGTTGATCTGATGCGCTGCGTACCTGACCGCAAACGGCCACAGAAAATGGGGGGCAGCCGCATGCATCATGGACGTACGGGCGACGTCCATGACCATGCCAATGCGGCGCTCAGCAATCCCATTTTGCTGTGGGGAGTCCGGAAGCGTGAAGGACTGGCGGATGCCTCGCGCCCGACAGTAGGCACGTAGAAGGCCAGAGGAGAACTCTCCGCCTCTGTCAGAGTGCAGACGCAACACAGGAAAGTCGGAGCCAAAGCTCTGCCTGAGCTGAAGACGAGCTGCGCGGATCCAGTCGATCAGCACCTCAGTAACCTCACCCTTGCTGCGCAAGGGGAAGACTGTGGTGTAACGCGAGTAGTCGTCAACAACGAGCAGGAAGTAGCACTCCTGACCCTGTCCACGGACGCGGGCTGGGCCCCACACGTCCATGTGAAGCGTCTGCAGCGGGGCCTCTGTCGGAGGAAACTGGGAGGAGTGAGGGGCAGCACGCTGGCGCCCCTCGACACAGGGGACACAGGCAGGGCCAGAGCCCTGAGGAAGGGGAGGTAGAGACCGGGGGAGACCAGACACAAGAAGACGGGAGGCCATGCCTCTGAGCCGAAGCAGAGAGGGGTGGCCAAGGCGGTGGTGCCAGAGGAGGGTCTCGTGAGACAGACGACGACACGAACAGGGGGAAGACTCAGGACCAGACCTGGACGCTGCGGCAAACACCTGACCAGACGAAGGGACCCTACCAGACTCAGTACCTGGAGGAGAAGCAGTGGTCAGTGTGTACAGGCTCGACCCTGGCCGACGTGTAAAAGTAGCCAGGTGGCGTCCCGTGCTAGCCTCCGTGCAGTGGGTCACCCGCTGACGGGCAGGAGTGAACTGGTGGACACCCGCATCCTGTAGGTCAGCACCACTCACCAGGTTCGTCGAGAACGAGGGGAGGTAGAGACCAGACAGGGTGCCAGAGGGGGCCGCCGGACACGGAAGTACCGTGGAGAAGCGAGACAGGACAGGCCCCCCAGAGGGGTCAGCCAGGGACACCGCAACCGGCCGACTCAGCGGCGTGAGAGTAGTGCGGTCCCGAAAGAAGGAGCGAGACGCTCCAGAGTCAAGTGTGAAGGTGTGAGAGGCCGAGGCCGACACAGTACCTGAGAGGGCAGACTCACCAGTACCTGAGAGCACAGACGCACTGGCACCTAGAGCAGCAGCCTCACTAGTACCTGACGCAGCAGTACCAATGCCCGGGTCGGGCGGGAAACACCGGTAACAGTCATCCTCATCACTACCAGTCACAACATACATAGCAGAGAGAATAGCATCAAAGTCAAGATCATAAATGGCTACACCAGCCCTAGACAGCTCCCCCCAGCGGGGGATCTCAGCGGCCTCCGGAAACTGCTGACGCCAGGCGTCGGTCAGGCGGCCAAAGCAGCGGCGGGCTGTGTGGGTGCCTCCACACCTCTCCCCCGCACGGTCGCCGGTGCGAAGAACGTAGGGGCAGGGACCAAACGCACCACCACGCTGACGCTGCAAGTACCACTCACGGAGCTGCTGAGGGGCGGGGACGGTGCGAGAGCGCTGCTGCTGTTGCTGCTGCTGCTGCTGCTGCTGCTGCTGCTGGCGCTGACCACCCCCAGAGCTGCCGCGCTGGGACGAGACACTCCGACCCCCGCCGCCACCGCCACTCCCGCCTCCACCACCGCCCCCGTCTCCACCGCCACCGCCCCCACTGGTACCCTCGCCCCCGCCTCCTCCGCTACCGCCTCCGCCGCCACCTCCGCCTCCACCGCCTCCACCAGTACCTCCACTCCCGCCACCACCTCCACCACCACCCCCACTCCCCCCGCCACCCCCACCTCCTCCGCCACTGCCTCCTCTAGCTCCACCCGCTCCCTTGCCCCCCTTGCCCTTGCCAGAGCGGCGTCTACCGCTGGGGGCAGACGCCGCACCGACCGACTCAAAACCAGCGAGGTCGGCCGCAGCGGCAGAGGCGACAGAGGGCAGCAGGGGGGAAGGAGAACACCCCTCAAAGATGGGGGTGCGAGGGTCACCCCGAGAGGCCCCTACAGCGACTATGCTCTTCTCAGCCGCTAGCAGGGACTCCTCAAGGAGGTCGACAGTGAGGGTGGTGGGACAGACAGAGAGAAACTGGTCCCTAACGACACGAAGGGACTCAGGGAGACGGGTGACAAGAAAGTAGAGAGTGATGTACATGGGAGGAGGGTTGGCGGCGCGGAACTCAGCAGGAAGGGCAGCGCGGTAGCGAGCGTCACTAGCGCGGAGGTGGGTAATGAGGTCAGCGACAGTGGGAAAGGCAGCGAGGTCAGGGAAGAGAAAAGGTAGCATGAGGCGGCTCAGCGTAGCGGAGGAAGGGGAGGAGTAGCGTGCAACTACAGCGTCGTACAAGGCCTGAGCGGTCTTGCACTGACTAAAGTGGGCACGCTCGGAGGAAGGGAGGTGGCGACGCACAGCAAGACGTGCAGCAGCATCGCGCGTCGCCCACTTGGAGCGAACGGCGGAATCAGCATCAGGAGGAGGGGCAGGGACAGCGCCAGAGACAAAGTCAAAGAGAGAGACCTCATCGACCGCATCACACAGTAAGTACAGCTGCAGGTCCTCAATCCAGACTGCAAAGTCAATGGCTCTACCCTCAGCGTCAAAAGCTAGGACATTGGGGGTGGCCATGACAGCAGCTGACAGTCTCACCGGGCAGGAAGAGTCGGGTAGGTCAGCGGCGCAGGTACACAGCCCAGGAGCAGCAGTAGCCCGACAGGAGCAGGAGTGCAGCTCCTCTGGCGGCTCGGGCAGCTCGGGCGGCTCGGGCGGCTCGGGCGGCTCGGGCGGCGCGGGCGGCTTGGGCGGCTCGGGCGGCTAGGGCGGCGCGGGCGGCGGCACGGGCGGCTGGGGCGGCTCGGTGGCGGCTCACGGGCGGCTGAGACGGCGCGCGGGGAGCTCACGGGCGGCTGGGCGGGCGGCCAGGGCGGCTCACGGGCGGCGGCGGCGGCGTCGGCGGCTCACGGGCGACGGCAGCGGCAGCGGCGTCGGCGGCTCACGGGCGGCGTCGGCGGCGTCGGCGGCTCACGGGTGGCGTCGGCGGCGTCAGCGGCTCACGGGCGGCGTCGGCGGCGTCGGCTGCTCACGGGCGGCGTCGGCAGCTCACGGGCGGGCTGAAGGCCCACGGGTGGGCGGTTCGCGGGCAGCGCCGGCTCACGGGCGGGCGGCGTGACGGGCGGGCGGCGGGACGGGCGGCAGCGTCACGGGGGGGGGGGGGCGACGTGACGGGCGGCGGCGTCACGGGCGGCGGCGTCACGGGCGGCGGTTCACGGGCGGCTGCGTCACGGGCGGCGCTCACGGGCGGCGGCGTCACGGGCGGCGCTCACGGGCGGCGGCGCACGGGCGGCGCTAAAGGGTGGCGCGACGGGCGGCGGCTCACGGGCGGCGCTACGGGCGGCGGCTCACGGGCGGCGCTACGGGCGGCCGCACGGGCGGCGCTAACGGGCGGCCGCACGGGCGGCGCTACTGGCTGCGCAAAGGGCGGCGCGAACGGGCAGCCGCACGGGCGGCGCTAACGGGCGGCCGCACGGGCGGCGCTAACGGGCGGCTCGAAAGGGCGGGCGCTAGGGCGGGCGCTAGGGCGGGCGCTAGGGCGGGCGCTAGGGCGGGCGCTAGGGCGGGCGCCAGGGCAGAAAAAAAAGTTCTAGGTGGTGGGCCCGAAGCACAGTTCCCACAGGGGAACCTGCTCTGATTCCATGACAAGAAGTGAACGAGAGAATGAAATGACTATGAACGAAGTGAGTACAAATAGGAAACCCTAACTGGGTTGTACCCCCTATGGGATACCCCACTATAGCCTACACAAACAAGTAAGCTATAATGTTCTGACATGGACAACACTGTGTGTGGCGACAAACACCACCTGCTTGCTCACCTTCTTCCAAAGACTCATCCTCCAACGGCCCTGACTGCAGTAAAAGTTGTGATTGTTAACGTTACGCTGCACTTAGTTTCCTTCAACAGCCATAATTACCGCCCGATCTGCCTCTGGTGCCTAGCGATCAGAGACAACGAGACGGTGTTTCCATGGCTTGGCCAGCTAAAGAACAGTTTTGTATCCGAATGCTTTTTAAATTTATAGATGCAACTACACATATTCCAGAGCGCTCTTCAAGCCTACGTGCAGACCTTTCGTGGGGCGCCTATTCTCAGCTTAGTGATTGTGTGGAGCTTGTTGGACTTATAATTTATCTTAATCTCCTGGCTTAGTTAGTTTCCAGGTCTATATCAATTCTCAGATTGAACCTGTGCTTCATTGAGCTGCAGTTTTGCCTGCAACGAGAGGCGAGAGAGCTGGTGGCGTTAGCGGTGACATTAGCATCCGAATCTGGAGATTCCATAGGAGGCCTGAAAGGCCTGCATTGAGGGTTCTCAGCTCTACTATATAGTTGGTTTCCATGGTGGCGGACGTAGATATTGTAAGGCATCATGCTGTTTGTGTGCTGTAATAGGTCGTTCTTAAGTGGGAGAGCATATGAGAACCATAGAAAGGCTTGCAGAAAACGACCACGTGAGCAGGAGGAGGTGGAAGATTTGATCGCGCATATAAGACGTAGACAGGCGGATCAGAGTGAGCAGAACTTGTCATAACATTATAGCTTATATATTTGTGTAGGCTATAGTGGGGTATCCCATAGGGGGTACAACCCAATAAGGGTTTCCTATATGTACTCACCTCATTCATAGTTCATTCATTCTCGTTCTAGTTTCTTTTACATGGTTTCAGAGCGGTTACGCTCTCGGCCTGTGGGTACTACTGCTTCCGCTGCTACATGCTCTGTCGCATGCCCCGTGGCGTGCGACGCATTTTCAATCTCGCCGCGCGCCACTTTGGCACGCGCCTCGGGGCGCGCGGCCTCTTTCTTTTCTAGCGCGCCGCCCGTCCCGGCCCCTAGCCGCCCGCGCGCCGCCCGTCCCGGCCCCTAACCGTACGTGCGCCGCCCGTCCCGGCCCTTAGACGCCCGCGCGCCGCCCGTCCCGGCCCTTATACGCCCGCGCGCCGCCCGTCCCGGCCCTTAGCCGCCCGTCCCGGCCCTTAGCCGCCCGCGCGCCGCCCGTCCCGACCGCGCGCCGCTGCTCCAGCCCGTCGACGCCCGTGAGCCGCCCGTCCCGGCCCCACGCCGCCCGTGTGCTGCCCGTCCCGGCCCCGCGCCGTCGTCCCGACGCCCAGTCCGCCCGTGCGCCGCCCGTCCCGGCCCCACGCCGCCCGTGCGCCGCCCGTTCCGGCAGCGCGCCGCCGTCCCGTCCCCACGCCGCACGTGCACCGCCCGTCCCGGCCCCGCGCCGTCGTCCCGGCCCCCACTCCGCCCGTGCGCCGCCCGTCCCGGCCCCACGCCGCCCGTGCGCCGACCGTTCCGGCAGCGCGCCGCCGTCCCGGCCCCACGCCGCCCGTGCACCGCCCGTCCCGGCCCCGCGCAGCTGCCCTGGCCCGTCGCCTGCTGCATTGCCGAGCCGCCCCCCCCCACCGAGCCGCCTAGCAGCCCAGCAGCCGAGCCGTAGCCGAGCCGCTGAGCAGCCGAGCCGCAGAGCAGCCGAGCCGCCCGAGCCGCCCGAGCCGCCCGAGCCGCCCGAGCCGCCCGAGCCGCCCGAGCCGCCCGAGCCGCCCGAGCCACCAGAGCAGCCGAGCCGCCGAGCCGCCCGAGTCGCCCGAGCAGCCGAGCCGCCCAAGTCGCCCGAGCCGCCGAGCCGCAGCTGCTGCAGTGCCGCCGTGCCGCCGAGTCGCCGAGTCGTCGAGCCTGCTCTTCCCACCACTGGTGAGCCCCTGCCTTACTAGCGCGCTGCCTGCAGCTTGCTTGGCTGCCTGCCTTACTGCTGCTACTCCTGCTCCTGCTTCTACTGGCGGCGGCCAGATGCAGCTCCAGCGACGCCCTCGCGCGTCTCTCACGCCCCAACAGCTTCGTGAGTGGTACGCTTAGAGTAGAGGGTCTCTCAGTTCTGTTCGCTGCTATTACGTGATTCGCACTGGTGCTCGGACTGGTCAGCCTTGTGGGACGCCTAGTCATACACCGTCCCGCTGCTTCGCCCGTCTGAACGACGCCTGGCGTACCGAGTTTGGCGACGAGGCTGAGCTCCCCGACTGGGTGGAGTTGCTTAGGCGGAGGGTAGATATATTTGCTCTTGACTATGATGCTATTCTCACTGCCATGTATGCATTGCCTACTAGTGCTGACCGTGACGGTCACCTGTGCGTACCGCCTGACCCGGGTATAGAGCCTGCTGCTCTAGCTGCTGGTGCGGCTGCTGCTCTGGGTGCTAGTGTGTCTCCTGCTCCAGGTACAGGTGCGGCTGCTGCTCTAGGTGCTAGTGAGTCTGCTTCCTCAGGTGCGGGTGAGTCTGCTCTCTCAGGTACCGCGTCGGCTCCGGCCTCTCACACCTTCACCCTTGACTCGGGGGCTTCCCGCTCCTTCTTTCGAGACCGCACCACCCTCACGCCGCTTGGTCGGCCAGTTGCAGTCTCTCTGGCAGACCCCTCTGGGGGCCCTGTCCTTGCTCACTTCTCCACTGTCCTCCCGTGTCCGGCGGCCCCCTCTGGCACCCTGTCTGGTCTTTACCTCCCCTCGTTCTCTACGAACTTGGTGAGTGGTGCTGACCTGCAGGATGCGGGGGTTCACGAGTTCACTCCTGCGAGTAAGCGAGTGACCCACTGCACAGACGCTCGAACAGCCCGACACCTGGCCACGTTTACTCGTCGGCCGGGGTCGAGCCTGTACACACTGACCACTACGTCTCCTCCAGTTACTGAGTCTGGTAGGGTAGCTGCGTCGGGTCAGGTGTTTGCTGCAGCGTCCAGGTCCGGTCCTGAGTCTGCCCCCTGTTCGTGTCGTCTCCTGTCTCACGAGACTCTCCTCTGGCACCACCGCCTTGGTCACCCCTCTCTGCTTTGGCTCAGAGGCATGGCCTCTCGTCTTCTTGTTTCTGGTCTCCCCCGGTCCCTCCCTCCCCTTCCTCAGGGCCCTGGCCCTACCTGTGTCCCCTGTGTCGAGGGGCGCCAGCGTGCTGCCCCTCACTCCTCCCAGTTTCCTCCGACAGAGGCCCCGTTGCAGACGCTTCACATCGACGTGTGGGGCCCAGCCCGCGTCCGTGGACAGGGTCACGAGCGCTACTTCCTGCTAGTTGTTGACGACTACTCGCGTTACACCGCAGTCTTTCCCATGCGCAGCAAGGGTGATGTCACTGAGGTGCTGATCGACTGGATCCGCGCAGCTCGTCTCCAGCTCAGGCAGAGCTTTGGCTCTGACTTTCCTGTTCTGCGTCTGCACTCGGACAGAGGCGGAGAGTTTTCCTCTGGCCTTCTGAGAGCCTACTGTCGCGCACGGGGCATCCGACAGACCTTCACGCTTCCGGACTCTCCGCAGCAAAATGGGATTGCTGAGCGCCGCATTGGCATGGTCATGGACGTCGCTCATACGTCTATGATGCATGCGGCTGCCCCCCATTTTCTGTGGCCGTTTGCGGTGAGGTACGCGGCGCATCAGATCAACCTTCACCCCAGGGTCTCCAGGCCGGAGACCTCCCCAGCCTTGCTGTGGACGGGGAAGGTTGGCGATGCGTCGGCGTTCCGGGTCTGGGGATCTCGGGCGTTTGTCCGCGACTTGTCTGCGGACAAATTGTCCCCTCGTGCTGCTCCTTGCGTCTTCCTCGGGTTCCCCCCTGACACGCCTGGGTGGCAGTTCTACCACCCCACCTCTCGCCGTGTTCTGTCCTCCCAGGACGTCACGTTTGACGAGTCGGTCCCCTACTACCGCCTCTTCCCCTACCGCACTCCGTCCCTCCCCCCGCCCCCGCTCTTCCTTGTACCAGGTCCCCCCCAGGTAGACCCCCTCCCCCCTCAGGGTCCTGCCCCTTCAGGTGTGTCCCAGGTAGACGCAGTCGAGCCTGTCGAGGTCACTGGTGACTCTGGTGCTGCTAGGGGTGCTGAGCCTGGGGGTGCTGAGCCTGGGGGTGCTACGCCTGGGGGTGCTGGGCTTGGGGGTGCTGGCCCTGGGGGTGCTGAGCCTGGGGGTGCTTTGCCTGGGGGTGCTGGACCTGGGGGTGCTGTGCCTGGAGGTGCTCCGCCTGGAGGTTCTCCGGGTGCTTCGTGTCGCCGGGAGCCACTCTCTCCACAGGAGCTGCGCGAGTGGTTTGCCCGCCGCTGGAGCCGTGCTGCTGGTGCTGGAGGTTCGTCGGCTACTGAGGGTGCTGCTGTCGCGGGTCCCGGAGGTGCTCGTCCTGGGAGTACTGGAGCTGCTGGGCCTGCAGGTTTGACTGGAGCTGGTGCTGCTGAGGGTGTTGGCGCTGAGACTACCACTGGCGGTCCTGCTGGGGGTGCTCCTGGTGCTGCTGGAGGTTCTGGAGCTGCTGGAGGTGCTGCTCGGGGTTCTGGAGCTGCTGGAGGTGCTGCTGGAGGTGCTGGAGCTGCTGGAGGTGCTGCTGGAGCGGGTACTCCTGCTGGGGGTCCTGGTGCTGTCCCTGCTGTTTCTGGCGTCGCCACACGGCCTCGTCCGTACTTCGTTCCACTCCTGCAGCAGGTTCTTGGTCTTACACCTTCTACTGGTCCTCCTCCTCCTCCCTTAGAGGGTCCACAGCCTGTCGAGTCACAGTCACAGCTACAGCCTGCCTCCCCTTTGCTTGCTCCTTCTCCCTACGCTGGTCCTACTGGAGGTCTTACTGAGCGTCGTGAGCCTGCGTCTCGTCCTGCGTCGCCTGTTCGTGCTACGCACGCTAGTGGTCGCGGTTCGCGTCAGCGTCCTCCTCCTGTCCCTGGCACGCACCGGATGTCTCTACGTCCGTCCACTGCTCCTCTGCGTGCCCCTTTGCCTTCTCCTCCCGCGTCCTCTCTTCTTGCTCTTGCCGACCCGGAGTCGGACTCTATTCGTGCTGCCAGTCCTACTGTCACGCGTCTCCTTGCTACTGCCGTCACTGACCCTTCTTTCGAGTCTACTGCTGCGTCTGCCCTTGTGACTGAGCTCGTCGACTTTGCTGCTCGCTGTCGCCTAGACTACGCTGCTAGTCTCGTCGCTGAGTCTGAGTCTGTCTGTCCTCCGTCCGTCAGGGGTGAGTGTGCCCTTGGCACGGACGTCCTTGAGGACAGGCAGGAGGAGTTCCAGTGTCTGGCCGCTGCTTCACCTCATCTCGTGTCTGTACTGCTTACCCCTGAGGGAGACCCGGATGCACTTGACATCCCGACTCCGCGCTCTTACGCGGAGGCGATAGAGGGTCCCTACTCCTCTCAGTGGCAGGCAGCTATGGATGCAGAGATGGCTTCCTGGAAGTCCACAGGCACCTACGTTGACGCTGCCCCCCCTCCTGGGGCGAACATCGTCAGTGGCATGTGGATCTTCAGGGTGAAGCGGCCGCCGGGTTCTCCGCCTGTCTTCAAGGCGCGTTACGTGGCTCGTGGCTTCAGTCAGCGGCAGGGAGTTGACTACTTTCAGACCTTCTCCCCTACCCCGAAGATGACCACTCTTCGGGTACTGCTGCACGTTGCTGCTCACCGTGACTACGAGCTGCACTCTCTCGACTTCAGCACTGCTTTCTTGCAGGGCAGCCTGCACGAGGAGATCTGGCTGCGCCGCCCACCTGGCTTCACTGGGTCGTTCCCTCCTGGTACCTAGTGGAGTCTCCGGCGTCCAGTCTACGGTCCCCGCCAGGCGCCACGTGAGTGGCACGACACATTGAGGACTACACTGGCGGCACTTGGGTTTGCTCCTTCTACTGCCGACCCGTCGCTGTTTCTGCGCACCGACACCTCTCTGCCGCCGTTCTACATCCTCGTGTACGTCGACGACTTGGTCTTTGCCACAGCTGACACTACTGGACTCGCCTACGTGAAGTCCGAGCTGCAGAAGAGACACACGTGCACTGACCTGGGTGAACTGCGCAGATACCTTGGCTTGCAGATCACCCGGGACAGAGCACGCCGCACCATTACCCTGACTCAGTCACACATGGTGCAGCAGGTCCTTCAGCGCTTCGGCTTCACGTACTCCTCGCCTCAGGCCACTCCTCTGCCTACTCGCCACTCGCTCTCAGCTCTGCCTTCGGATGAGTCCGTAGAGTCGAGTGGCCCGTATCCAGAGCTTGTTGGCTGCCTCATGTACCTGATGACCTGCACACGACCTGACCTTGCATACCCTCTTAGCATTCTCGCACGCTATGTTGCTCCTGGGAGACACCGACTAGAGCACATGGCTGCAGCGAAGAGGGTGTTGCGCTACTTGTGCAGTACGTCGGGCATGGGGCTAGTGCTTGGAGGGCGGAGTCCAGTGGTCCTCACTGGGCACGCGGACGCCTCTTGGGCTGACGACCAGGCTACGCAGCGGTCGTCACAGGGTTACACTTTTAGTCTTGGTTCCGGCTCTGTTTCGTGGCGGGCTACCCGCTCGTCTTCTGTTCTCGGCTCCAGTTGTGAGGCTGAGATCTACGCCGGGGCTATGGCTGCCCAGGAGCTTCGCTGGCTCACCTGCCTGCTGACTGACCTTGGAGAGTCGCCTCGTTCTCCTCCAGTTCTGTACGTAGACAACAAGGCCATGCTGGCCTTGTGTCGAGAGCAGCGTCTGGAGCACAGAACGAAGCACATTGCTCTCCGCTACTTTCTTGCTCGTGAGCTACAGCAGCGTGGACAGTTGCGGCTTGCGTACGTGGCCTCTGAGGCCAACACTGCTGATGTCTTCACCAAGGCACTTGCGCCTTGTGATCATCAGCGCTTCTGCACTCAGCTGGGTCTTGTGCCTGTCTTGCCTCACTTGCTCACTTCTTGACCTTGCTTGTACTGTCACATATATATACTCTTGCTCTTGCTTGCTTAGCCTCTTGTATATATATATATGTGATCTTGCATGTGAACTGGCCTTCTGGCCTTTGAATTTGTGCTCGGAATGTGTGGTGACTTTGTGATCCACCCTGAGCTTTGCTTTGCTTTGCTTGACTGGTCTTGTGACCCCTTGTTCTCTCCCACTTTGCCTATGGGGGTGTGTCAGAACATTATAGCTTATATATTTGTGTAGGCTATAGTGGGGTATCCCATAGGGGGTACAACCCAATCAGGGTTTCCTATATGTACTCACCTCATTCATAGTTCATTCATTCTCGTTCTAGTTTCTTTCACAGAACTCAGGCTCAGCAACAACACTACCAGCAGACACGGTGAGGACAGATGTAGCACCCAGGAGCGCTCAGTCAGAGCAAGCAGATGAGATCCCAGAGTTGCCACGGTATGAATTTCCATCTGAGTTACCAGCAGGTGTACCGACGTTTGATATTGACAAAGCGTTTCTGAAGGTCGTCCACAGTTGCAATGGTGGCATGGGTTTGTCTGCTACGGACACCAACAACATTTTAGCACTGTTTTGCAGGCCTACAGCGGAGAGGCCCAGCAATACAAATAGAGCAGGCATGGATAAGTATGCCAAGTCATTGCTTGTGCAAATGACAGGAATAGAGGAGTGGGAGTCGGTAGATGTTAGTCACAACAGTAACCACGTCGCTATACTCTATCTAACATCACTCTCCAAGGCAGTAGAGTCGCTATTTTTGGAGCGTAAGAATCATGAGGGATTTGTCCTGTGGGCGAAACCAATTTACACAGCGGACGGAAAGCAGCGTATTTACGCGGGACCAGAGACCGGGAACATGTGGATTGAAACACAAGCGTTACTGCCTAGAGGTGCTATACTGGTGCCCATGATACTATACAGCGATGCGACTAACCTCAGTACTGACGGACGAGTAGTTGGGCATCCGGTGTACATGACGCTGGGTAACATTACAGTCAAGAACAGATGGCAGCCGCATGGCCATATCATGATTGCCATGCTGCCACCCTTGACTGGCGTGGATGCAAAAACCGAAGCGGGGAAGGAGACGCGCCGCGCGGTGTTTCAAAAAGCCATGGATCGCATCATGCAAGACGTCCGAGAGGCTTCTAAAAGGTTGGTAATTTGTACATTTGATCCATTTGCCACCTACTCTTTCCAAAGCAGTAGATTTTCATCCCGTGGCAAAATCAGATGTAATGTCATGCGTGTTCCTCTGTTTTTAATCCCTCACCTGCCTACACACTCCAAGAACGTGTTTAGAACGAACAACAACACTCTCTGTCTCATGACCTCCCTTATACTGTACCTATGCTTTCGTTTTACCATCACACACACATTCATGACAAGCCTACCCATCCCACATCCCACCCCTTTCAGTCAACCCCCTCTCCATCACATTCTATCTTGCTTATCACACACATTACACTCCACACAAGAACATCATGCAGATAACCCCCTTCTTCCTCCTACCCCTCGTTCTCTCTCTCTTCTACCACTTCTTAACTCATTAGTCCATCAGACACATGCCTTCCCCCTTCTCTCGCATGCTGAATCCGTACACCTTTTCCCTGCCCCATCCCTCGCTTTGTTTGGTACTCCACAAACAGTGGGATCATCATGCGTGACCCATTCGGTGAACGTCATGAGGTCTACCTAGCCTTATATGCCTACGTTGCAGACCAACCGGAGGCATGTAAGGTGGCAGGCACTTTTGCAAGCCACCAAGCGCAATATCCGTGTCACAGGTGTCTAGTGCGAAGAGAGGACATAAGCAACATGGAGATTTCATCCGAGTACCGAACGGAGGCGGATCAGGCGGAGAAGGTCGAAGAGTTACTTGCAATACCGACACTTACTGCGCGGAATGATGCCGCAAAAGCCATGAGCATCCACCCAGTCAAGGTGAGGGAGGGAGACGAGATGACAGAGATGAGAGTGAGGAGGGATGAGAGAGAGGAAGAAGGTAGGATAGAGTTGAGAGTGAGGAGGGATGAGAGGGAGGAAGAAGGGAGGATATAGATGGGAGTGAGGAGGGATTTACAGGGAGGAAGATGTGAGGACAGAGATGGGAGTGAGGAGGGATGAGGAGGAAGAAGCGAGGACAGAGATGGGAGTGAGGAGGGATGAGAGTGAGGAAGAAGGTAGGACGAGGACTGGAGAGAGAATGGATCAGAGGGAAGAAGGAAGGAGAGAGATGGGAGTGAGGAGGGAAGAGAGGGAGGAAGATTGGAGGAGAGAGATGGCAGTGAGGAGGGAAGAGAAGACGCAAGAAGGGAGGACAGAGATGGGAGTGAGGAGGGAAGCGAGGGAGGAAGAAGGGAGGAGAGAGATGGGAGTGAGGAGGGAAGAGAGGGAGGAAGATTGGTGGAGAGAGATGGGAGTGAGGAGGGAAGAGAAGAAGGAAGAAGGGAGGACAGAGATGGGAGTGAGGAGGGATGAGAGGGAGGGAGATGGGAGGACAGAGATTTACAGCATCTCTTCACTGTCACCCATGCCCTACTCAACCCCTATCCCTTTCAGTTTCCAGGCCAGGTCCCCTCTTCTGATATACCTTTCGCAACCCATCACTTTCCCCTCCCTTTGTTCCTCAACAGGCAGCAATATGGGGGTTGGCCTTGGGCGGAACAGATGTCGGCAACCCGTACAGGGCACTTCTTATCGAGATCATGCATGCTCTTGATCTTGGCATCTTCATGCATATCATCTCCTGCATCAGAGCCATGCTAAAAAAGAGGAAGGAAACACACGTGCTGAGAGAGCTAGATTTGGTCCTGCAAACAATAGCACGTGATACTCGAATCAGTGGTTTCCGGCTACCGGGTGGAGAGAAGGGTGGTTACTTTGCAGGTGCTGCAAAGTTTCAGGCGTTTGAACACCGTGCCATCATGCAAGTGTGCACGATTGTCCTTGCCGGGCGTGTAGATAAAAAAATTGTGGATGTTGTAGCTGCATTTGTCGACCTCTACATGCTGGCCTCCAGGAGGTGGTACCATACGGATAACACCCTCCAAGAACTTGACCAGGCAATCAAAAGGTACTCTGAGTTTATGCCCTGCCTTCTCTCCCAATTGGTTTCTGTTCTCATTCCACTCCGTGCCCACACCTTCCATCCATTTCTGCAATTCCTATCTCTCCCATATCGGTCTTACCTTTCTTTCTCTCTATTATCACATCTCAATCTAATCCCTACCTTGTTCAATCTGATCTCTTCAAAAATCGGAACCTGTCACTATATCTATCTCACCACTTTTCAACCCCATCTGTTTCCTAGATTGTGCCTTGTCTCTGTCCCTCCTTCATCCTCCCTCTCATCCCTCCACTCCCATCTCTCTCCTCCCTTCTTCCTCTCTCTCATCCCTCCACTCCCATCTCTGTCCTCCCTTCTTCCTCTCTCTCATCCCTCCACTCCCATCTCTCTCCTCCCTTCTTCCTCTCTCTCATCCCTCCACTCCCATCTCTGTCCTCCCTTCTTCCTCTCTCTCATCCCTCCACTCCCATCTCTGTCCTCCCCTTTTCCTCTCTCTCATCCCTCCAATCCCATCTCTGTCCTCCCTTCTTCCTCTCTCTCATCCCTCCACTCCCATCTCTGTCCTCCCTTCTTCCTCTCTCTCATCCCTCCACTCCCATCTCTCTCCTCCCTTCTTCCTCTCTCTCATCCCTCCACTCCCATCTCTGTCCTCCCTTCTTCCTCTCTCTCATCCCTCCACTCCCATCTCTCTCCTCCCTTCTTCCTCTCTCTCATCCCTCCACTCCCATCTCTCTCCTCCCTTCTTCCTCTCTCTCATCCCTCCACTCCCATCTCTCTCCTCCCTTCTTCCTCTCTCTCATCCCTCCACTCCCATCTCTCTCCTCCCTTCTTCCTCTCTCTCATCCCTCCACTCCCATCTCTCTCCTCCCTTCTTCCTCTCTCTCATCCCTCCACTCCCATCTCTGTCCTCCCTTCTTCCTCTCTCTCATCCCTCCACTCCCATCTCTGTCCTCCCTTCTTCCTCTCTCTCATCCCTCCACTCCCATCTCTGTCCTCTCTGTCCTCGCACCCATCCATGCCCTGCCTTTGTCCTCCCTCTCAACCCTTCTCACTCCCATCTCTCTCCTCCCTTTCTCCTCCCTCTCGTCTCTTGTCAGATTGATTCCAATGTTGAAGGATGTGTTTGGCGAATTTCAAGCATCCGAATTCAACATCGGCAAGGTGCACGGCCTTGTGCATTTGGTCGATGACATTCGACGCTCCGGTGTCCCCGTTCACTACAACGCCAACATGTTCGAGTTTTTTCACCAACCTCTCGTAAAGAGGGCATACCGTGCAAGCAACAAACGTGACGCTATGCCTCAAATCGTGAAGCATAGTGTCATGGCACGAATGCTGCAAGCTCTTGATGACTCGGACCACAACAAGGAGGATTCGCACCATCGAATGGTCGCCCTACAAAAGGTAGATGATGCACGGTATAACATAGTCCTCTAAACTGCTTCTAACCATCTTCTCTCTGTTTTAAAACAAGTGCACCCCAATCCCGACCGCAGGCCATGGAAACTGGGAGAAACACACTCGTGGCCACGTCGCACAAGGTGAACTGGAGGGACTCTCGAGTTGTTGGCGGCGATCTTTGGCGGGAATACGAAACAGCAGCACCTGGCGACATGTTGCAGCTCCGCGCCTTGTTGTCACAACGACAAGCCGATGGCGTTGAATTAAGCAACGAAATCCAAGTCAGAAAGGGCTTGGCTATACCAGGTGATGAGGACTTCACAAAGTGTTCTAGTCAAACGCACTATGTGCGGGCAACTCCAATGTTCATGAAGGCACCTTGGTTCAGTGATGTTGCTGTTTTGGGATCTGAGGTGGAAGTGTTACCGGATGGCACGAGGAAGCCCAAGGATGTGATCTGGTATGCGCGGTTGCTGCTCTTGTTCGTAGTTGCACCAAAGGATCCAGCAGCAAAATTTGCGGACCAGAAGGAGCGTGCGCTCGTTAGGTTCTACCGCGTTACCGACGAGGTGCATGCATCCCATTGTCCTGTGCTAAGGTGGGAGGAACCGGATAATGAGTATCAGGTGGTGGAGATTGACAGAATTTAGAGGGTGGCTCATGTGGTTCCTATTGCTGGGGATAAGTTTGTGCTCAATAAGTTCAAATTCTACTAAAAAACTCCTGATCTTCACTGTTTTTTGTTTAATCGTATGCAGCCTTTCACAATCGTTGCACCCCTTTCATATGTCAGATTTATATGACATAGTTGCTGTAGGCTATAGTGGGGTAGCACATATGGGGTACAGGGTTTCTAGGGTTGTATTTGTACCCAATCTTTCCTTAGTCATTTCATTCCTGTTCACTTGTTTCACATGGTATAGAGCGGGTCCTTCCTAAGGACCGTTTTTTTTAGGGCCCACCGAAGCGCGCCCCGAGGCGCGCATTTTTTTTAGCGACCCCTCGGGTCGCCATTCCCTCGCGGCCCCGCTGCCCCTCCTGATCGCGGCCCCGCCGCCTGCTTGACGCGGCCCCGCCGCCTCCACTGACGCGGCCCCGCCGCCGGCTCTGACGCGGCCCTGCCGCCCGCTACGTCGCGGCCCCGCCGCCTGCTTGACGCGGCCCCGCCGCCTCCACTGACGCGGCCCCGCCGCCGGCTCTGACGCGGCCCTGCCGGCCCGCCGCTGCACCTGACGGCCCCGCCGCTGCACCTGCCGGCCCGCCCCTGCACCCTACGGCCCGCCGCTGCACCCTACGGCCCGCCGCCTCACCTGACGGCCCCGCCGCTGCGCCTGCCGGCCCGCCGCTGCACCCTACGGCCCGCCGCTGCACCCAGCGGCCCGCCGCTTCACCTGCCGGCCCGCCGCTGCACCCTACGGCCTGTCGCTGCACCCAGCGGCCCGCCGCTTCACCTGACGGCCCCGCCGCTGCACCTGCCGGCTCGCTGCTGCACCGGTCGGCCCGCCGCTGCACCTGACGGCCCCGCCCCTGCATCTCCCGGCCGAGCCGCCCCAGCAGCAGAGCCGCCCCAGCAGCCGAGCCGCCCCAGCCGCCGAGCCGCCCCAGCAGCCGAGCCGCCCCAGCAGCCGAGCCGCCCCAGCAGCCGAGCCGCCCCAGCAGCCGAGCCTCCCCAGCTGCAGTGCCGCCCGAGCCGCCCGAGCCGCCGAGTCGCCCGAGCCGCCCAGCAGTCGGGCCGCCCGACCCGCCCGAGCCCTCCCTGCACTGCCCTGTCTGGTGAGCACTGAGCTTTACTCTGCGCACTGCCCTCTCTCTACTGCTGTCATGGCTACCCCCAGTGTCCTCGCCTTTGACGCTGAGGGCAGAGCCATTGACTTTGACGTGTGGGTAGACGACCTATTGCTTTTCCTACAGTGCGACAGAGCTGACGGACTCTCTCTCTTTGATCTCACTTCTGGTGCCTCTCCCGCCCCTGCTGCTACTGAGGATGCCACTGTTCGCTCACAGTGGGCCACACGCGATGCTGCTGCACGTCTTGCTGTGCGTCGCCACCTCCCTCCCGCTGAGCGTGCGCACTTTGGGTCGTACAAGAGTGCTAAGACCTTGTACGACGCCGTTATCGCACGCTACTCCACCCCTGCCACTGCTGCACTGAGCCGCCTCATGCTACCGTACCTCTTTCCCGACCTTGCTGCTTTTGCCACAGTCGCCGACCTCATTACCCACCTGCGCACTAGTGACGCTCGCTTCCGCGCTGCACTTCCTGCTGAGTTCTGCGCCAAGAACCCCCCCCCCCAGTACTTCACTCTCTACTACATTGTCACCCGCCTCCCTGACTCCCTTCGCGGAGTCAGGGACGACCTACTCGCAGTCTGCCCCACCACTCTCACTGTCGAGATCCTCGAGAAGTCCCTCCTCGCAGCCGAGAAGAGCATTCTCGCTGTAGGGGCCTCTCGTGGTGACCCGCGCACCCCCATCTTTGAGGGGTGTTCCCCCTCCCCCCTCCTGCCCTCTGTCGCCTCTGCTGCTACGGCCGACCTTGTTGGTTTTGAGTCGGTCCGAGCGGCGTCTGCCCTCAGCGGGAGACGTCGCTCTGGCAAGAGCAAGGGGGGCAGGGGCGGTGGTGGAGGCGGCGGGGGCGGTGGAGGCGGAGGTAGAGGCAGCGCCGGAGGTGAGGGTGGTAGCGGGAGTAGTGGCGGGAGTGGAGGTGTCGGCGGAGGCAGTGGAGGCGGGGGGCGGCAGCGGCGGTGGTAGTGGGGGTGGAGGCGGAGGCGGCGGTGGCGGCGGCGACGGTGGGAGTGGCGGTGGCGGTGGAGGTGGTGGCGGCGGCGGCGGAGGAGGCGGCGGAGGTCGTGGCGCGCCGAGGAGGAGTGGCTCCAGTGGTGGTCAGCGCCAGCAGCAGCAGCGTGGTCAGGAGACCCTCTCCCCGCAGCAGCTCCGTGAGTGGTACTCTGCGCGTCAGCGGGGTGGGGGTACTGGTCCGTGCACTTACGTCCTGCGCACTGGCGACCGTGCGGGTGAGCAGTGTGGTGGTCCACACTCCGCCCAGCGTTGCTTCGGCCGCCTGACTGACGCTTGGCGCCGCCAGTTTCCTGACGCCTCTGAGATCCCTCGCTGGGACCAGCTGTCTAGGGCTGGAGTAGCTATCTTTGATCTTGACTTTGATGCTATTCTTGCTCCTATGTATGCTGTGACTATTAGTGAGGAGGGTGACTGTTACCGGTGTTTCCTGCCCGACCCGAGCATTGGTACTGCGGCTCTAGGTGCTGTTGAGGCTGCTGCTCCAGGTGCTGGTGAGGCT